TTTCCCCAACCCAGGTACAGCTGGTGAACTCAGACTGGTGGGGTGGTGGAGCGTCCCACGGGGGGAGGGGGAGCTTCAGCTGGCTGGGCACTCTGGCCAGTAGTGGGGTGGCTGTAAACCACCCTGTTCCTGACCAACTGCAAACCCCCTCCCCCCACTCCCGTGGGACACTCCACTGCCCCACCAGTCTGAGTTCACCAGCTGCACCTGCCCCAGACCCCTCCCCCAGCTCCGAGGCTATCAGCAGGGCAAGAGGAGAAAAGGAGAACACAGAGCTGCCATCTGGGCTTTGCCTGACCTGAGCTGAAGGGGGAGGTGGAATAGAACTTCCTCACCTCATGCCCCCCATCCCAACTATCCCAGATACCCATTGTGGGGAGCCAGGCTGGGCCCACAAGATGAGGGGGGCTCCATTCCACCCCACCCCCTCCATTCCACCCACCCCCTTCCAGTTCAGCCTGGGCAAAGCCAGCCAGCAGCTCTATGATGCTCCCTTCTCCCTCCCTCCCCAATGACAGTGCTGCCCCCATGTGAAAAATTAACCCTCAAGGGAACACAAGCTCTCTAGGATGCTTTATTTTAGAACACCTTAATCTAATACCTGATTTAATGAAACTTAATTTTTTGCATGATCAGCCATTTTAGAAGTGCTCTGCAGCCACGCACGTGTGTCACATCATGGCTGTAGAGTGCTTCCAGGGGCCTGATCATGCAAAAAATGTAACTTGTATAAGCGCCCAAAGATACCTGAGAGGTAATTTTAAGTGGTCATTTAGTCACCGTTGACACTACATCATGTAAAAATTTGAATGAAAAGTCCAAGACAAGGTTTCCTCTCCCACCCCTTCAGCACAAGACAGAGGAGAGCAGGCAGTTGTTGCAGTTCTGACTCTTGCTCCGAGCTTGGGTTGGGACTAGAGTCAGAGCCAAAAGCAGGCATCTGTCCCCACCTCTGCCTCCTCCCTGCAGCCTTTATCCCATTCTCCCTCCCCACCCCCCCACCCCAGTTGTTTTATTTTTTTCATTGTTCAGGTTTCATGGCCAAGGTTTTCTAGATTGGATAACTAAATTCATATGTCCATATATAGGTACCTGAATAAATGTTCTAATGACTCTGGCTCTAGATCCTTCTCTGTTCCTTGCCTGGCCAATCAGCAGTGGCAGTTTTGGCCCTGGGATCTGGCTGTGTGGTCAGGCAGGGGCTGTACTTACATATGCTCTGTGCCCCTGGAGGGAATGAAGCTGGAGTTATGTCTGTTGGTAAGGGGGAAGGAAAAGTGGGCAGAATCGGTAGGAAGCATGGGGGGGATGGGGACAGAGGATGTGGGGACTTGGACTAGAGAAGTGGGTAGAGGTTGTGGATAGCAGGCAATGGGCAGAGGCTGCAGGGGGGCAGAGACTGTGGGAAGCAGAGGCTGCATCAGACAGAGGTTGTGGAGGGAAGGCAATAGGCAGTAGGTAGAGCAGACAACGTGGTGAGGGTGGGTAGGCTTCAGGGGGAAGAAGTAGATAGGGGCAGAGAGCTAGGGAGGTCACCTGCTCCCACAGCTGCTTGACTCCCTGCTGCTACTTTTTACCATGGTAGCAAGTAGGGGGGACAAATTTAAGATGACCCTTCCTTACATTGGTGACTGGTGCCTCCTGAGTCTTGGGGGGCACCTGCAGATGCTGCTGGCAGCATCAGCAGCGGGGACAGAGCTGGCGAGGACCCACAGATGTCACGTGCCCTCCCCGTGTCCCCTCTACCAGTCACCTATGCTTCCATAATTAGGTACTATACCTGAAAAATTATAACAAATTTATACATTTTCAATATATAGAAACTAATTATCGGAGGGTTACCTTAAATTCAAAGTCATCTTGAATTTAGATAACTGCAGTATAGTCAAATGTGCACTTGTCTAATTGTGTTAGAGTTTTTATATAGTAACGTCAGCTATATGTAAGCAGATGGATGTCAATGCCTTTAAAGACCAGAAAAAATGAAACTTAAATGGTGAGAAAGCATAGCCAAGAGGATTCTTCATAATTTTGTGCTATGAACATTTAAATGCAATGCATAGATGGCAAAGAAATTAAGACTTGACTATATGTGTTTCTTTGCAGTGGACAGTGCTGTAGAGTTTGCGCATATTGGTCTGTTCTACCATCAGGGTCAATGTTGTATAGCAGGATCTAGGATTTTTGTGGAAGAGCCTATTTATGAGGAGTTTGTTCGCAGAAGCATTGAGCGAGCTAAGAAAAATGTCCTTGGGAATCCTCTGTTGCCTGGTATACATCAAGGTCCACAGGTAAGTTATAGTCCTATCACTTTAATTAGCACACATATGCTAACCACTACAAAGTGGTTATTTTGGTATTATTCCAATAGTTGTATAGTGGTTATCAGTGGCATAGTGAGTGATGGAGGACCAGGGCACCAGTCCCTGCTGTTGTTATTCTGGAGAATGGTTAAACAGGAGGAAAAGGTTATCTGGGTTTTTTTCTTTATTGTGTGTGATCCATTGCAGGATGTTGGGCAATTCACTAAATCCCTCTGTTTCAGTTCCCTTTACAGTAAAATAGGAATAATAGTGTGGTACTGATCCACTTAAAATGCTTTCAGAAATTTTCATTGAAGGCTAGTGAGCAAGTGCAAGTGTTTATTACCTCCACGTATATCAATACGAGACCTCTCATAGTCATAACAGTATATTCAAGTACTACCACTGTGTTATCAGTGAGCAGCTGTGGGAAAGTCGAAGATAATGATTTTTCCCCATTCCTCCCCAGCTCTCATTTTATATCACTTCTGCTCCCAACCTGCAAAACTGCCAATTTTAAACTCTTATCACAGCTTTTTGGCAGGCCCCTTTTTTCGTCTGCAGAATCTTACACTTCTACTCACACATCCTATCCTAGTGACTGTCCAATTCAATCAATCTAAAAACACAACATTAAAAAAAATTATATCACTATATGTATAGGTTCCATTACAAAGATGTTAAATGCATTCTTGGCTGAAGTCTTATTCAAATGCTATATACTATAAATGCACCTTTTATTTTGATTACTCACTCTATGCCCAAGCCTTACAGGACAAAGGGATCATATCAGAGCCAAAGGCACAGCCTGACTAAAGAAAACTCCCCCAGATACAATGGTGATAACACGTTCATTTCACTGGCAGCTGTATAAACTTTGAATAATCAAAGACTTCTTGACAAATGTAAAAATATATCCAAAACCACCTATAAATAATAGGACTGATAGCGTAATATGCTAAGGTATGTCATCACCAATGTTAACGAGTGGGTTTTCACAACAGAAAATCAAGCTGTGTATATTCATTAATCTAGTGTGTAGACAATCCTTGAGCTAACAAGAAGCCATTCTGACATTATTGCTTTGCTGAGTCTAAAATTAAACACTCACAGATTAAATGGAACAGGGGAAAAAACCTTTAGCAACTTAAATGAATGGGCACACTGCTCTAAGGAACTGCTCTAAGGAACATTTCTGAAGTGGTTTAACAGAAAAATAAGAAAACATTCCTGCCCTTTCTCATCATTTCCTCGTCACAATGCATCTTTCCCATGTAGCATGCTAGCACTTCATAACAGTCTCATGGGCTAATGAGACTTGTATCCCCAGAATAGCTGCATTATTTCTTTATTTTCATTGTTCTTCGAAATTGAATTGAAGAAGGGATGGGCTGAGGTTCTGCTATCAGCACTAAATATGCAATGGCTGCTCCTTTGAATGTATTGTTTAGGTAATTATTTCAAACCTCTTTCTCTCCCCTTTAAGTTCCTTGTACTACTTGGCATCTTCTCAGTTCAAATGGAGCAGCAGTTTCTGACTTGGAAACCTTTCTCAACCCAGTAAAAAACTATGATTGGAACACTGTCATATAAAGATAGATATATTTACTCATAAGTGCATGACAAATAAGAGTGTAACATTGCTACTCAAAGGGTGGCATTGCCCTTTGGTTGGGAAAGCCACCTAGCTACTCATTTCCACCTTCTGTTCCTTCCCCTCCAACAACTACCTTTTGTTTGCTTTCTCACACAAATTCTACTGCTTTGTTCTTTCTTTGTGGTTTCTGCTACTCCCACCTCCACTTTCAAACATGAGTGCTTCCAGACATGGAAAAAAAAACAGTGCTTTACTTTCAGCTTGGCATGACCCTGTACCAAGAGCAGCACATGCCCAGAAGAGGCATCTCATTAGGTGGACCCGGCTCACCCAACATCTGTATAGACTGGAAACTTCATTGGGGCTTTTCAGAACTTTTATCTAATAGCTGATTGAATCAGCTATTAGATAAAAGCACCAAAAAGCCCTGCTGACATACCCGACCTATACAGATGCTGGGGAGCTGAGTCAAACTAATACATTTCCTCTTCTGGTAGTGCCATTTTGGGGTTTTTTCACATCTCTCAGTGCCCAATATAGGTGAGTAGTTTTGGGGGTTTTTCATTATTGAAGTTCCACAGCCAAGGTTTTCTAGATTGGATAAATTAGATTCTTAAATCCATACATACTAGATCCCTGAATAACTGCTCTACTTTTCAAAACTGCTGATCATCCTTGACCATTTATTTCAGCATTTTGGTATGTGAGGAGACCTATTTTGCAAATCTTGGCCCAGCTGTGCACGTTTGGGAAACACCAAAAGGCAATTAGAGGGTGACTATGAACAATTTTTATCTCCAGCCAAGCTCTAATACTGCAAAGAACAATTTTTCCAACTGTTTAGTTGGTCTAATAAAAGATTTACCCAAATAACCTTGTCTGAATATGTAGGAGAGGCAGGTGTGTATATATATATATATATATATATATATATATATATATATATGAATATATATTTATAAACCTTTATAAATTAAAGTTATTTATAAATAGATATATTTAATCAACCAAGGAGAAATGTTCCTTCTCAAGACTAAGCATGGGCAAAACTGAAATCTGAGATTCTATACACAAAAACCTTTGGCCCCCTCTGCACATTACAGGAATTTACCTTGGCACCAACTATGCATGCAAAGTAGCTATTACACAATACAAAGCTCCAGCTTTTAAAATTAGACCTCAAAAATGCATACTGACTTTACTGACTGGTTGCTATCGAGCTTTAATTTGCGCAGGTAGTAAGGTGTTCCCTGATGGTGGGAGCCCCATCAGACGACCATGCCCAGTGAAAAACCTCAGATTCCTAGGAATTGCAACCACCATGATCTCCAGGGTCTGAGGGATTCACGCACCCTCAAGCCCTAGGAATTGCAGCAGCCATGATCCCCAGGGTCCAGGAAGCCCCCGGGGTGGGAGTATTGTCCCTGTGGTGATCCTCTGGTGATCCTCTAGCCCCAGGGGTTTTCCACACTTGTGGGGTTGGAGGTGGGCATGGCCAGGCCCCAGCAGGACTCTCTCATTAGGGAGGTCTGCCTGCACAGTCACAGGCTTTTCCCTGCTGACTCCTCAAGGGGTGGGACTATTGCTAGCCCCTAGCCCCGGGCTAGTACACTGAGTCAAGGGGAGTGTGCAATGTATGCATCTCCCTCCCTGCTTCGTCATGCTGTATGCAGCAAACTGACAGGCAAGGAAGCCAGCCGGGGGGACTGATAATTGTCTTTGTCACCCAAATAGCAAAACAATAGCCTCTCTCCACATTACTTCAAACTTCTAAACAGCTTACCGGCTGACCTGTTGATTAGCTCTGAAAGCTCTAAGCAGTCACTGTTCTGTCTGCCTACCTGAGTGAAACTGGAGAGACACATACACAGACATCTCTCAGCATTAGCTAGCATACCACATGCTGGCTACAGTCCCTGCTATGGCAGAGATGAGGAAGGGATGTCTGCTTAAGCAGGGAGTGCTGAGGTGGGGAGAGGGGGGCATGGGGAAGCCAGCAGACCCTGCTGTGCCTACAAATCTGTGCTGAGCTCCAGCCAGGGAGCAGAGGGGAAGAGCCAGCCCTGCGGTGGATCAGGGGGCCCTGCCAAGTACAGAGAGCATGCCAGGATGCTGGGCGACTCTGATTTATCTTAAACCAGCAAGGGGTCTGGGACAGACATCGCATAAGTCAGCTTGAGCCAAATCAGTTAAATCTGATACTGCATTCAACCAGGTTTATCTCAAACCAGTTTCAGCCATTTTCAAACTGGTTTATATGCACTAAACAACTGTTCTGTTACAGGTTTAAACCAGTTTCTGATCACTTAAACTGGTTTATGTGTAATGTCTTTCCTTGTAATGTCTTCCCCTAGCCCCTAAGAATGACTGCAGACTCATTTCAGTGACAAAGGTTCAGCCAGGCTAATTATCTACAAGGCCCTAACACGCTTGTGATATGATACACAAGGTATTAACACATGTATGTCCATGACAAAGTACAAAACCATGTAGGCTCCCCTAGGCCAATACAAAGTTCCCACAATTTCTAATTTTCCCCTTATACAGTGGTCAAAACAGATTATGTATTACATTCCACCAGTATTTTGAATATCTTAAGCTTTGGGCTTGTTCCACATCCTGATCTGGGTGTTCCCATTCCAGCCTTATCATCCTGCTACTGGACTATTCTACACCGTATACAGCCATCTCCCCTTCCTGTCTCCTGGCAGGAGTGCACACCTGGCCCACATGCCAAGGTTTGCTTATGGAAGGAGTCCATGCATCAGTCAGATTCACTGATCAGGCCTACTTTGGCCAATGCTTTATCAAAGCCTTTGTGTGAGCAGTGTATATATTAATCAATGTTCCCGTGAGGCCTACAGAAAACGTTATTAAATTGGAGCCTGTTTTGCTAAGCACAGCACAAACACCTAGCATGAGAAAACATACAATCGATTTTATAACTGTAGTTATCAAGGAGAACATAAGAAAAAGTGACCCAATTGACAGTGACATCCAGCCATTTCAATTCAATATATTCCATTCTTCATTCTGTCATACATCTTGGGGCTAATTTGTCCATCAGGGTAGCAATCATTGTATTTATCCATTGTGTACAAAAGGGTAATTGCTTAAAAGCATAATGAGTAGCAAGAAGGATAATCTAAGACTTTAATCCTTATAAATAATTTAAAGATTTTATCATAACTTTTATAGAGTTACTGGGCAGGTTGGATCCTTACTAAAAGGTTGAAAGCACCCAGGGTCTTCCACAGTCTTTTAAAAATACTGTTTTATTTTATGTGCATGTGTGATAATATTAGCACTCATTAAGATGACGCATTTGGTCTCCTGCCTTATCCTTATGTTTACTAAGTCAGCTCTCATGCTGCCTTCTCTACTCTGTGCAAAGGGCTAATGTGTACAACTTCCACCCTGAATTATAATGTAGGACCAACAGATTTACAAAGAAGAAAAACTGCTCCCAAGATAAAATGCTCTTTGTATACTGTGCTATCTAATCCTTCCTTGAAAACTCCATCAACAGGGTTTTAAAACTTAGCCCTGATAATCATAAACAAAGTTTTTTTATCAGGTGACAATGTAAGAACTGGACACATCATGTGAGAAGTGAAGTAAGATTTAGCTTTAAGTCAAATCCTGGAGCAGGGTTTTAGCTGCCACGTCACCTCACTCAAGTACATGAAGTATGGTCTTGGGCAAGAAGAGAGAAATACACCTTGCAGAACAATATAATAATGAGCCAAACTGTTTCAGAAGGATTATATCTGATGAGCAAAAAAATGTTTGCTTCATTGGAGTCAATATGAGTTTTGCCATTTACTTCAGTGAGGCCAGGATTTCACCCTGAGCATAGTATGGTCCAGCATTACAGATCACAGAAAAAAATATTGAGTTCTTGCAGGACTTTTACCTTAACAACATGTAGAGATGATAAACCATTGGAGAAATGGACCACAAGGGGAGGATTACTATGCCTAGTCAGTGCAAGGCAGCACCATGTACAGATACCCCAAGGTATCTTTGTGCATAATAACTCAGAAACTAGAAGCAGTAAAGATCTGTTGGTGTGGTGCTGTCCTTAGACTGATAATCTCTGCTTCTCAGCAGGACAGATTAGCCCAGGCACAGTGGCACTTCAGTATAGCTGTATTGCTTGCAGTTCCAGCACTGGCATAAGTAGTGGTAGAGCATGTTTCAGCATGCTGCTGCCTTGTACAGTACTGATAAACTCTGAGAAACAAGTCTTTGTTGTTGATTTTAAGTCTTGAACTAAATAACTGTACAAAAGTTATTTAAGGGGAGGGATGGAATTGCATGTTTAACTAACTTGCTAGCAAAAGATGAACAGATTCAGGTCTGGTTTCCATTATCAAATTAGTCACTTATTAGGAGCAGGGGAGGGAGAAAGGTTCTTAACCTAATTCTTTTCCTCAGTTGCTCCCCACTATAAACTGCAGTCTAAAATCCACTTCCTACTATGAAGGCCTTGCCAGAATGATACGTGCTTGCATTTGTTTTTAATGTTGGTGTAACACTATAAACAAACTGCCATCTATGTTTTCCAAGTTTCAATAGTTATTTTGTGTTCTAGCAACTGTCAGTCACAGAACAAAATGAAAATAGCAATGAATTTCAGTTATGCCGTGTGTAGGTTTTTATTTTCTTTAATAACTTTATTAAAATGTGACTTACCAACAGTCCTGCTAAAAGCCTAAAGAGTTCCATTGGCTGGGCTCTCTGTTAGAGCTGAAGGATTAGGCCGAGTGATTTGCATTTCAATGGACCAATAGTAACTGACAGAATACTGGGCAAAGTCTAAAAATTGATGTATTTTATAGAGGAGAATCGTCATTGCTATTTGAGTACAACCAGACTACCAAATCCATTAGAAGATCTAGCCCATGTTATTATGCTGAAATCTCTAATTACTGGTCTAGATGAGAAAGGCCTATAAAATTTTGAGCCATTAAAGACAACAAAGTTTCTAGTTTCTCCAGCTGTTTCACTTCACTATGTGAGATTTAAGAAAGTAAGAACTTTGCTGAGGCACAGTTAATGGGTTGCAAAGAGACTGTTATCAGTTCATGCTACTTTTTCCCCCACTCCTTGCAATATTTTCATTTAGGTTGATAAGGAGCAGTTTCATAAAATCCTTGAACTAATTGAGAGTGGGAAAAAAGAAGGCGCCAAACTGGAATGTGGAGGAGGTCCATGGGGCAACAAAGGTTACTTCATCCAACCCACAGTTTTCTCTAATGTTACAGATGATATGCGCATTGCCAAAGAAGAGGTAAATAAATTCATGATAGTCTGTACTTTCACTGGAGTATTTCTGTTTAAACATCTGTACAAAATATCCATTTAGAAGGTTAAGTGTATACATAAAAATGATCACAATGTGTCTTTCACTCTGGGTTTGGTCAATTTTAAAACCCCTTTCTTTGTCACTTTTGCTAACTAAGCCAACACAATGAAATGTTAACGTAAGGAGAAATAATCTAACTGGCCAACCAAAGCTCCAGGCAGAGCTGATCTGAGATAATAGATACAGTGGCTAGCATTGTTATTTGTATCACCCTGGACTGGGCTGACTATGTAACAGAAAAACAGCAAATCTGTAAAGGGCAACTTGTGAATTCTTTGTTCCTCTTGATTAGCAGTGCTATTACTGCAGCAGTCCCTTGACGTCAGGATAAATATTCCAATGGTGAGCTACCGCTCGACAACAGGAATAAAGGATTCAGAATTTGGCCAGGGCAAGTCCCTGGTGCCCACGCTGTTTCTATGTTATGTCCTTTTGAAATCGGTGGAAATTTAGGTTATACCAGATAGATATAGTTAGGTGTGTAAGACATGTCTATGGCTGAAAGTGCCTACTCCAGTAGGCTACATTCAGTTGATTTACTCAAATTGAGCACTGGAGCCTGCAAAAAAAAAAAAAAAAAAAATCATGAGAAGTCAGGAAAAGGAAGAGAGGGTTGATAAGAGCTTTATATCAAATAGTTGCTAGTTGCAGAGAGTTCCTTTCTGCTGGTCTGGGAGTCAGGTGGGAAATCTCTCAGAAATCTGCTTCCTTGCAAGATTTACCCATTTCACTTGGACCAGCAATACCACAATAATCTCTTCTTATAGTGTGTTACCTATATTAAATTATCGAGATGATAACAGAACAAGAAGAGATGATTTTGAAAGGTTCCAGTTTAAATAACAGTTTTGAACCTCCCAAGTTAAATTTTGTTTTGCATTTTGGGGGAAGGGTAAGTTCACCTTCTGTTTTGTGTAACCCAGTGGGGAATGGTCAGTTTGCTTTCTGTTTTATGTAAAACAGTTCATGTAATCCTAGTTGTGAAATTAGCGCTATATGACACTTCTAATAAAGTCAGGTGCAAAACAGTAGTTAATTTCAATGGAACCGAGACAGCCCTTATGGCAATTATCTCCCATCCATAGCTACCGAACAGTTGTATAATGAAGCACTGCACTTGTTGGCTAAGAACACAGGACTAAGTTAATGTGCCCTTAGAGACGAGCTGATTCTAATGGAATATTTTCTTGTATATTAGTTAACACCCAGAAAGAGAGCAGAATTTTTTTTGGCTTGCTTGTTTAGTTATGAAGCAACTTGTGGAGATAAAACCTTAATAAAATGTTTAGAAGAGGAAAAAATGAAGGTCTTTTCCAGCTTAAGCCTGCCCAGATTTACAACAGGATCTGTTTTTTGTGTTAGGCATTAAATGATCTTTAATTTTTTTAATGTTTACTGTCATTGCTTGTCATTTCCATATTATACAAATCTACTGAACATTTGAATATCATATAGTACTGAACATCATGTCTTGGGGCTTTGAAACTTTTATTCCTGAGTTGGCTAGGTAGAAGGTCAGTCTAACAGAAATCAGATTTTTAAATAAATAATTTTAAATAATAAATCATGCTAAACTTTCCACCTATTCAAACATTCTTCCTCTTCTTTGTGTGCCTGAAATAGAT